TCGTTTTGGCTTCACGTTTTGAAAGGATCAGACATGACTCAGGATATGATCCAAGAGCATGACGAACCCATCCTGAAACACCTCACTGACATAACCACTACAATTGAAGTCGATCCCCACGTAAGTGTTCTACGTTTTTATTTTGTCTGCATTTCATAGTTCTACGTCCTGTTTTGTAATTCTAATTTTACAAGCATTAATTTTGAGGTTATAACGGTTCGGTTTGTTAGATTGTGATCGATTTCTATTGCAGGGATTCACCATCTATTTCCACTTCTCTCCCTAATGAGTATTTCACTAACACAGTTCTAAAGAAGCAGTACTTCCTTCGAGATCAAGCCTGATCAGGAAGATCCGTTCAGTTTCGATGGACCATCAGTTGTGCGTGCTGTTGGGTAAGTAGTCTTCCTCTCATCTGTCGGTAGTGCTAATCAGTATTGTATTGTACCTTTTTAGCGATACCATCCACTGGAATGATGGCAAGAATATCACCAAAAAGGTTGTGAAGAAGAAGCTGAAGAAGGGTAGCAATGCTGGGAAGTTCGTCACGAAAACGGTACTTTACAGCATATTTTCTGAAATTGTAGAAAAATTGCGATTTGTAGAAGAGTTCTGTCCATGTGTTGTAGTCTTGATTTCATAGAAACGTTGTATTTAGATGAAGGCAGATAGCTTTTTCAACTTCTTCGACACGATTGTACCGCCCACGGAAGAACACAAGAATGAGGACGACGACGATGATGTAAGTTTTGGGCCACATGATTTTACTGGCATTTTATTTCTACAACGTCCGTTTTTCTGCATTGTGGAAGGCGGTTAAGGGGGGGGGGGAGGGGCGAGGGATATGTAGAGCTTAGAAGTTACCTCTACTTCGTGAGAATAATTAGAAACGGCTGTGCATGTGGAAGCACCGTGCGCGCAGGGGTAGAATTCTTGTAATGCTTTGAATTCCGCCTGCTCTCGCACAAGATTAATGTCGGGTATGCAACCAGGCGTTGCTACGTTTTAGCATCGACTGTACTAAATCCTGACTACATTTATTCATTAAACATGTTTACTCATTCTGTCATCTCGTGGTAATTCAGGTCAAAATTTCGTTAAAATTTTCTCTCTCGGAGTTGATTTCGTTTAAGTTGTGTTCCCACGGGTAGTTTGGCTTTCTTCATCACTAGTGTTACATGTTTTGGCTCGAGAACGCGTGGTACCTGTGCCATGAACCCCAGCGCCAAAACTGGTCTGTGGTGCAGATGTCAAAGTTTTCGTTCTAAATAAGCGACAAACTGGTGGTCAGGGGA